AAAAAAAAAAAACGCTAACAGACTTACATATTTCACATCTTTCGTTAATACCTCTCTTTTAAACTCATTATTGATATTTAAAAAGCTTTAGATTTTTATATTAAAACCCAAAAAATTTTTATATTTTCAAAGTGAGACAGTTGTCGAACAGTTCATTACAGCACCATCTAAAAAAAAGAAAGAATTTTAGCTTTAAAAATTCAATCATTAGGCTTTTTTCAAGTATAAGGTAGTATAATGAAGTAGTATAATTTTTTAATGCTTACATTGCTTATAACTTTATGTTGCTATTTTGATTACTGAAATTAATAGGCCGCTTTTCTGGTTCTCAACAATAGTACTGGGAAATAAATAAAATCTAACAAGAATAAAAATTACCGGTTAACTGAACTTCCAGTAATCTATAAATTCTGTTTTTTTTTCAATTATTCTATTTCCTTCTTTAACATATTCTCTAAAATTTTTTTTCGTTTTTGTTGTAGCTATTTTTAGGTTTAGCAGTAAAAAAACTATAATAAAGTTTAGTTTAACGACAAGTAAAATAAAAAGTTTTTTTTTTTTTAAAAGTAAATGTGTTGATGGGTACATTCAGTTATGTATAAAATTTTGTTTACTTTAGACATTAATCTTTGCAAAAGATTGAATTGCCAATTTTTAACTTTTTTCTTTCTTTTTTTTTGTTGCCATTGCCTATTTCGAAGGCAATTGCAATTTAACGATGGTTAATTAATGTTAGCCAAGTGTACATTTGGCAAATACTTCTGTTTGCTTAATCCATTACAATCAGTTGTCTTGGAGAATACAATTAATAGAAATTTTGTTAGTGTTGTTGTTGGTTTCTCACACAGCCAGCAGTAATAGAGATTGAAAAAAAGTTGATAAATTAAGCTTATATTTATGTGGATTATTGCATTAAACAATAGAAAATCATCATAATCTTTAAACAGTTGATTGTCAACGATTAACAGCTGAACACTGAATAAACTTTGAACTAATTAACATATCAACATAACATATCAAATCTATATATATATATATATATATATATAATATATATATATATGGATATATATATATATATATATATATATATATATATATATGATGTTAAATTTGATAACAGCTATAAAGAAACTTTATCTTTTTGGTAATTAAATATCTGCTTTTGCGAAATAGCGATAGAAGG